AGACTGGTGGAAGGGCGTGTGGCCGGCGCTGGCCGGCCCCGAGCTGGCCGGGGACATCATCTCCAGGGTTTTCTCCTCGGAGCTGCCGCAGGGATCCTCGGCGCCCTCGGGGCCGTGGTTGAGCAGCCCGGTGGGCGTCACGTCGAAGTTGACGCTGCGGTCGCTCTTGGGGGTCTTGGCCATGGGGGACGGGGGGCACACGGCTCGCAGGGGGCTGCTCTCCGGGTAGCGCAAGCGCTGGGGGCTCTCGGGCTCTTCCAGGCCGTTCTCCAGGCAGGACGGATCCCCCGGCACCCCCGGGCGCCGGTTCCCCCCGTTCTCCAGGGATAAAGGCTCCAGCTCGCTGTCGGCCGTGGCGATGCCTTCATCCGTGGATTCCTCCTTCCTCCTCCTCGCGCCCTCCTGCTCGGCCTCCGGCAGCATCTCCTCGGGGGAGGAGGACTTGGAGCCGTCCGAGGCTCCCGGCTCCTTCTGGCCGCTTTTAGCCTTGGGTTTCTCCGGCTCTTTCTTCAGCAGGGACTTCTTGACGCTGCCGGCCTTGGCCGGGGCTTTGCGGCTCTCCGGGACCGGCGTTTTCCGGGCCGGAGCCTTGGCCGGAGCCTTGGCCTCAGCCTTGCTGTCCTTGGAGTCCTTCCGCAGCGTCTCGGCCTTGGCCTCCTTCTTCACCACCTTCACCTCCCTCTTGGCCTCGGCCCCCTCGTCTTTCTTTGGTGGCTTCTTCTCCTCCTTCCTGGCAGCCGGCTCCTTCTTGGGCGCCGCCTTCTCCTTGTTCGCCTTCGGCTTCGCGTCCCCCTTCGCCTTCTCTGCCGCCGACTCCGGCTTGGCTCGGCCATCCTTGGCTTTCTCCTCTTCTGACCCCGTCCTGGCCGCGTCCCCCAGGGATTTTGGCTTCTCCTTGGTCCCGGATTTCACCTCCTTCTTCTCCACCTTGGGAGCCTTCTCCTTTGGCGCCGGCGCCGCGGCCTCCACCAAGCTCAGCCTGGAGCCCGACTTGAGGCTCTCCTTGCTCTCCGCCCTCCTCTGCTTGGGCGCCTTCTCCGCCTGCGCCGTCCCCTTCAGGTCGTTCTTGGTGACCACGGGGTGCTTGAGGAACTCCAGGTGCTTCACCTTCTCCAGCCCTTCCAGGATGCGGGCCTGGGGCGTGCAGCCGGGGAACAGCACGCGGATGATCTTCTCGGAGCGGCTGACGGGGTGCCACACCAGCAGCACGCACAGCGAGGTCAGGCACTGCAGCGGCAGCTCCTGCTCCTTGGGGAAGCCGTTCCCCGCCCAGTGCTGCAGGAGGAACTCCAGCTCCTTGGTGCCCTTCACGGGGTTCAGCACGTACATGTCCAGCCGGCCCACCCCCATCTTCTGGAAGAGCACGGTGGGCTCGGCGCGGGGGCCGCCGTCGCGGGCCAGCAGGTTGGGCCGGATGCCCAGCTTGTCCAGGTAGTGCAGGGTCAGCGCGGCCTCGTCGCAGCTCTTGAGCACCCGCGAGTCGCCCTCGATGTCCTTCAGCTTCTCGCAGGCGTTGAGGAAGACGACGCCCAGCTCGGGCGAGATCAGGTTCTTGGCCCAGTCGCCGTTGCCCTGCGAGCTCTGGGACGGGTCCTCCTCCAGCTCGGCCAGCTTCCTCTGCAGCAGGCTGTTGATGCCGGGCAGGCTGTCCGTGCCCGCGTGCGTCACCAGGATGGAGTCGATGCGGTCCAGGTGCCGCACCAGCTTCCAGAAGGAGGATTTGGGGTTGGAGCCGCCGTTGACCAAGACGTTGAAGCCGTTGACGGCGAAGAAAGCCGAGTCGCCTCTCCCGCCCGGGAAGATGTAGCAGCAGGGCTTGGAGAGCTTCAGGAAGCCCACCATGGTGGGGGGCTCCAGGAGGTCGAAGGGGGACTGGGGTTCCAGGGACTCCGACAGGTACTCCATGAACTCCTCCAGCCCCTCCATCTCCGGCAGCACGCAGCCGGGGTTGTAGCGCAGCTCGATGAAGTCCTGCAGGTTGTGGTGCTCCAAGCCCGAGTCCCTCCACTCCCCGAAATCCGGGCAGCTGATGGTCAGCCTGGCCTTGGCCGAGGGGTCCGCAGAGCTCAGGATCTCCCCAACCTGCGCAGAGGGGCGGCTTCGGGTGGGAGGGGGCACCGGGGTCACCCCCTGTCCCCCCACCGGGATGGACCCGTGGGGGTGGGAGGTGTCCAGGAACACGTGAGATCGTTGGATCCACACCTGCTGCCTGTTTTTTTAGGGGTTTTGGGGTGCCGGCCTGCTCTGCTGCTGGGCAGGGTCCTGGGGGGCCCCCAAAAGGGGGAGCTTTCCCTGACACCCCCACCTCGGCTGTGAGGCCCTGGCAGGTGAGGATCTGCCCCTCTAAATTATCAGAATCTGCACCCCGAAATCCTGATGATCTGCATCCCTAAACTCCCATAATCTGCACCCCAAAATCCCCAGGATCTGTATCCCAAAAATCCTGGAAACTGCAACCCGAAATCCCCAGGATCTGTACTCCTAAACCCCCAGGATCTGCCCCCACTAAATTCCCAGGATCTGCCCCTTTCCCTGCCCTTCAANTCCAAATCAATTCCGAACCCATTCCAAACGCATTCCAATTCCAAACCCAATCCAAATCCATTCCAAACCAATTCCAAACCCATTCCAAACCCATTCCAAACCTATTCCAGTTCCAAACCAATTTAAACCCATTCCAAACCCATTCCAAAACCATCCCAAATCAATTCCGAACCCATTCCAAACCCATTCCAATTCCAAACCAATTTAAACCCATTCCAAACCCATTCCAAACCCACTCCAAACTCATTCCAAACCAATTTAAACCCATTTCAAACCAGTTCCAAACCAATTCCAAACCAATTTAAACCAATTCCAATTCCAAACCAATTCCAATTCCAAACCAATTTAAACCAACTCCAATTCCAAACCAGTTCCAAACCCATTCCAATTCCAAACTCATTCCAAACCAATTCCAAACCAATTCCAAACCAATTCCAAACCAATTCCAAACCTATTCCAAACCCATTCGAAACTAATTCCAAACCAATTTAAACCCATTCCAAACCAGTTCCAAACCAATTCCAATTCCAAACCAATTCCAAACCCATTCCAAACTCATTCCAAACTCATCCCAAACCCATTCCAAACCAATTCCAAACCAGTTCCAAACCCATTCCAATTCCAAACTCATTCCAAACCAATTCCAAACCCATTCCAAACTCATTCCAAACCAATTTAAACCCATTCCAAACCAGTTCCAAACCAATTCCAATTCCAAACCAATTCCAAACCCATTCCAAACCCATTCCAAACCCATTCCAAACTCATTCCAAACTTCCAAACCAATTCCAAACCAATTTAAACCCATTCCAAACCTATTCCAAAGCAATTCCAAAGCAATTCCAAACCAATTCCAATTCCAAACCAATTCCAATTCCAAACCAGTTTAAACCAATTCCAATTCCAAACCAGTTCCAAACCCATTCCAATTCCAAACTCATTCCAAACCAATTCCAAACCCATTCCAAACCCATTCCAAAGCAATTCCAAACCCATTCCAAACTCATTCCAAACTCATCCCAAACCCATTCCAAACCAGTTCCAAACCAATTCCAATTCCAAACCCATTCCAAACCAATTCCAAACTCATTCCAAACTCATCCCAAACCCATTCCAAACCAATTCCAAACCAGTTCCAATTCCAAACCAATTCCAAACCAATTCCAAACCCATTCCAATTCCACACCCCTCATCCAGACCGTTTTTCCAGAAAAAAATGAAGCAATTAACAGGAAATTAATTAAGAACGACACAAATCCCGAGCTCTCCTCTCACCTTCCTACTGCAGAGCAGTCCCGGCCTCCGTCCCCGATCCCGGCGCTTCCTCGGTTTCCCTGGATTCCTCCTGCCGAGGAAAAGGGCAATTCAGGGATTTGGATTTTTTGGGAATTTTGGGAAGTGCTGGACGTCGATATCCGATTATCCAGCGGGAAATCGGGAATCTGAGATCAGAACATCGGGGAAGCCGCGCAATCCGTCCTTCGATTTTAGAAATCCCAGCGAAAGGGGAAATATTTGGGTCTAAATCCAGGGGTTTTTTTGAGGGGGAAATGAGGAAAAATCCCATTTTTGGAGGGGAATATGAAGGAGAGGAAGAATTTGTAATGTTTTTTGAGGAGAACGAGGAGCTGGAGAGGGGTTTGCTCCATTTTTGGGGTGAAATGTGAAGAACAGGAGCCGTTTCCTCCGTTTTTGGAAGGGAATCAGGACAGGGAGAGGTTTTTATTCCCATTTTTTTGGGGGGAATATGAAAAAGAGAAGCATTTTCCCCCCATTTTAGGGGGAAATTTTTCTTCTTTAGTGAAGAAAAGAAGATTTTTGCCTCGTTTTTGGGGTGAAATGTGAAGAACAGGAAGGAGTTTGGCTCCTTTTTGGGAGGGAAAATGAGACAGGGAGAGATGTTTGCCCCATTTTGGAGGGAAAATGTGAAAAACAGGAGCTGTTTCTTCAATTTTTGGGAAGGAAATGAGGATTTGGAGAGGTGTTTACCCCATTTTTGGGGGGGAAATATGAAAAAGAGGAGGAATTTCTCCCATTTTAGAGAAGAACATGAAGAATAGGAGATTTTTTGCCCCATTTTTGGGAGGAAATGAGGATTTGGAGAGGTGTTTGCCCCATTTTTGGGTGGAAACGAGGATTTGGAGAGGTGTTTGCCCCA